TTGATTGCTGGCAGGGGGAGAAGACAGCTGTGTGTGTATATTGGGGTGAAAAAGCCAAACCATTTAACTTTTTGTCAAGTAGAGGAGTACGTAGACGACATGCACACACACACACACAGACACACACACACACACACACACACACACACACACACNGCTGGCAGGGGGAGAAGACAGCTGTGTGTGTATATTGGGGTGAAAAAGCCAAACCATTTAACTTTTTGTCAAGTAGAGGAGTACGTAGACGACATAGACACACACACACACACACACACACACACACACACACACACACACCTACACACACCTACACACACCTACACACACACACGCACACACACACGTTGGTCGTCACTGTAGAGCTCAGTACTGAGGTCCTGGTGTAGTGAGGTCACACGAATGTGTTTCTGCTGAACCAAAACCAAGTCTCTGCCAGAAGAACTGGACCAGAACTAAATGCATTTCATCATCTCCCCTGCCTTCATTTCTCTGCTCCTCCTCCTTCAAGCGCAACCTCAAAACCAGTCTCATTTATCGTGGTCAAGGTCGCAGGTAGCAGCCATTATAAGTAATTTTCTACTTGAGCTTCAGGCAAACACTGAACACTTTGCTGACTGACAGCACATCCCTTCGGAACAGCATTCACATCGTAGAGGCGGGGATGTGTGAAAGTGAACGTGTGCACGTGAGTCTCCCAAAAGCACAAATGGCTATCTCGATAAGTAATACCTGCTGCGGGGCATTGCAGTAATAGAAGCAGAGCACAGGGACACAGAACATTCATCATCAGGAGTTCTTGCTCTGTGTTCAAATCAATCATAATGAAACTAATCAATTATTGTTCCGATGGCTTCAGGATGGACAAGAAATTGGGACAAATTTCTATCATCGTCCAGAACACAAATCATCTTCTGTGTCACAGCGAGGCCGTCCCTGGCCTCGGTTGGCTTTCTTTGATATCTGCATGACATGAAAGCCTCTGCTGTTACCATCCCCCCTTGTTGCCTCATCATAAATAAACACAGCCATGACAGCCTCATTATAGGCAATCAATATCATTTGCTGTGATAAAAAAAGACTGGCTGGCAGGCGGCTGATGTGTCCGGGGGTCAGGACAACAGCAGGCCACTGTGAGAAGATATGATCATGGAGAATTACTAACATTAATCACTTTAGCCAAGGAGATTACCCAATCTTGCTTAATTAGAAATCTCCCGCAGGGCAAAGAGAGGAGAGCAGGGTGAAAGAAGGTAACGCCTACTGAAAAAAGGTCACGCTCACACTTTCAAACTCGGTCTGGTAACATGCTTTACCTTGAGGCAGCTGGTCAGTGAGAGCCCTGTGCATAATGAACATTAGTGGAATTATACAAAAGATCTGTCAGGAGCTCAAATTAATGAAAGTGTTCTTTACCTCGTCACAGCGGAGCCACTGCTGTTCATGTGGACCATTTCTCTGTTTGATTTGATGCTCGAGTAACAGCAGGGAAGTGGACGTCAGATACAAACAAGAAGAGAAGATTTTCAAGAGCACTTGGGTTCTGCAGAAACAACATCGCCTTTCCAGAAAACTGATGAATATTTACACCTGTAGTAGCTACTAAAGCTCCACTATATCCACAGTCGGTTCCCTGTTCAGACCAACTTGTCATGTATGGATCAGCCTGCATCAGCCAACCCTCTTGTTTTGATATAAGGGACGTGTGCATGTTCACCACGAATAACTGAGCTCCACACCTGCTTCACAACCACTTTTTGATCAGTCAGTGCCCAGCTGAGCAGCGATGTATGCAGAAATACTGCAGTGCACTCAGGACCGGGCCTGTAACTCAATACGGACAACATGGGCTGGACCACTTTCAATACAAATGGCTCCTGAATGTGGGTCATTGGACCATGTGTCTGCATGACAGCTACAGCAATGAGCTAAATCTCACTACGAAGCTCCAAAAGCCAAGGACCTGGAAATTCAGACAACAGTTCTTCGCAGGTTTGTCAGAAGTGACACCTTTCGCTTTGTCACATTGTTTTCACACTGTCATTTTATAAAAAAAAACATCTACTACAGCTGATTTCTCTAAGCCACTAAAGCATTACTTGTGACAGCTGTTGTTAATCTCTAATACTACTGTAGTGTGAGAGATTAAGGCGAGCGCGAGCAATGACTGTATTTATTTCATTATTACTGTAGCACACACAAAAGCCTCAGCTAACAACAGCCAAGAATCTATGTTATTTTCCCTGGAAACAATGGCTTCTGAAAGAGAGAAGCAGTGTTTGGATCTACATGGTGCTTTTGTCATCAGCAGAAAAATAATAGGGCCACACTGACAGTCTCCTCCAAAGGGATAATCTTCTGCAGGTGCCATCATTTTGCATTAAGCACAAAGGGAAAGACATTGACAGGTACTTTCCAGGGAGATGGAGCCAAATATAGCTCCAGTAAGGAAAATGTACAAAAGAACAAGGTCTGGCTTCATGTGTAGCCCATCGTAGAAAGAAACACACACAAAGAGCCCAGTGGGCTTCGTGCAGCTGTACAGAAAGGGTCACATCACTACATCCTCATAGTTACATACTAAGACAGGTCTGACACTAACCATTTCCTTCATTTCAGATTATCCGTTTCTCAAATGAGAATTGACTCATCTTCTGAATGCTAGAAACTTTAGCTGAATTCACTGCCTTATGAATTAATCATTTAAGTCATATTGTCCAGTTCCAGCTTCTCCACGGTGAGGAATTTTCAGCTTGTCTCTGTTTTACATCATTGAAACTGAATATTTCTTGGTTTTGGACTGTTAATTACACTAAAACATGACATTGCAAGACATCACCGTGGGCTTGAACAGAGTATTTTTTATTGACTAACTGTTGTTTTTTTGTTTTGTTTTAGTTTGTTCTCCTTTTCTTTTTTTTTTCTCCATATTTGAAGTCCTGTAAACATTTTTCTGTTGAGTTTTGGACTGATGGTCAAGCAAAACAAGCACAAAAAAAAATCCCCTTGGGCTCTTTTTCACTAAATTCTCGCATTCTATACAATCTAAACAATCAGAAAAACGACTTGCAGCTGCAACACCGTCAAACTGCTTCCCTTATATCCATAGGATGTAAACTGGGCCACAGCATTTACATTTGCTGGTAGTCGGAGATGAGGAAGCAACAGGATGCAGCTGTAACACTCGACTGACCACACATGGCTGCACTCTATGAGAACCTCCGCTCCAATCGGCCAGAAATAACTCACACTCACCGAAGGAAGCTGTGAATAAGGAAGGATGAACTTTTGTACACGTGCACCTATGGATGAGACAAAAAAAAATAAAAAAATCCGACCCTGGCCTCCGCTCAAAGTGATAACTGTAAAAACACACAGGAGCCAAAAACTGTTTGTGCGATACTAAAATATCCCACTAACTCAAAAAGGACATCAAAAATACATGGAAGACAGCTGCACAGAGATCGGTGTCGAGGTTGGAGCAATTTACGTCTGAGTCAGGCAACAGGGACCAGACCCAGCCAGGATCCATGCCTGGCTGCAATGCTACCCAACTGATTTACACAGACTGAGCTCGACAGTGAAGGGAATTTTACAGCACTGGAGAACAACTCTCTCCTGACAGCCAGCTCTCTCACTGGCACAGCCAATCTGCAGGGAGAGGATAAATCTTAGGAGGGGAACTGAATATATGATGGAAGCAAGAAAGGAGTCAAGAATAAGAAGAGGAGGAGGAGGAGGAGGAGGAGGGTGATCACACTCTGGGCAACACATCCTCACAATAAAAAAACAGGAGCAAGAGTGGTAGTCACTCATTAATCTAAGAGATGAGGGGAAACTAGTCCCATAAATCACTCCTGCTGCCTGGTAAACAAAAGGTACTTTCACTTTATCTTGTTGCCTCACTGGTAACAGCACTGATTTGCTGCGTAAAATGATTCCATTTGTGTGGAATCCTCTGGGTGTATGAATAAATTGATAATATATATGCATCCAAATTATTTATGTGTACACTTGAATTGCTAATTTGCGTGAATTGCCGGTTCATACTAATCCCTGCCTGAAATGCACTTGACAAAATCGGATGTGCAGCCTTCGAGGCAGCACAGTGAAACAAAAATAAACCTGAAATGCTAATTCAAAAGGGCAGATGAACGGCATCTGCAATACCTTAGTCAGACACTGTCACTGCACTTACACTGGGCGATAATGGATCGGCAAGCCTTTAATGATGAAAAGAGCCATTAAGGCAACATTTAGTCACACTAAGGCCATTTGCATAAATGTATTAAATAAAAGCTACAGTCAAGCACATTTAGAGACGGAGGAAAGACAAGATAGAGAGGTGAAGACAAAGCTGCAGGCAAATCTCTATTAGAGAAGGCGACAGTTGCATTAAGTTGTAAAGCAATCCCTGAGGTTCAGAGCGAGGTTAAGAGAACAGGACACATTGAGGACGTCTGGAAGGCAATGTAATTGAACAAAGAGGGGGCAGAGACAGGAGGGAAGGATGGGAAAGAAGATGGCGTCAGTCTGGTATACAGCCACATGGTACCAACACCACAGAGGGAACTGAAACCCAAACCCCTTCCAAACCGTCACCGCCGGTAGGATACATGATGCTTAAACCTGGGCTCGACCTTGACTGATGTAAATGCCGCCACTGCTTTGATAAACCTGGAGGGTGAAGTGCTGATATGCTGGCATAAGTAGACATTTCCTCAGATGGCAGAGAAGCATTACAGGACAAAGCTTCAATATACAAAGATGTCTTGTGGGTTGATGGTGAAAGAGCTGCAGCCATGCATCTCATCTGTATCCAAGGCAGTTTGGAACAACTGCTGCTGACCTTGAAATTACACATTAATCTTCTTCTTGGGAATAAAACAGAATCTAACTTTTTCACACTGTGTGCTCCCATAAAGAAACAACAGGAATATGAAAAAGTGACAACATGAGCTCACGACATCTCTGCTTGCCAGGGTCATGTATGACTGTCTTACCTTTGAGCTGGTCAGCCACCACACTCTGTCCTATTCTCTCGTTGACCTGCCCGTCTTCATGCTGGTAGCGGTCATCCAAGAAGTTGGCAGTGGCCTGCGACAGGTGGACCTTCCCAGCCACACCCAGCTGCTCCATCAGATTGGCCAAGTTGACATCATTTGACCAAACGTCGAACTTGAAGCGTTTCATTCCCAGGATACCACACAGCACAGTGCCAGTGTGGACGCCCACCCTCATGTTCACCATCTCCCTCTTCTCCTGGCAGAACTGTTCGATGGCCTGAATCATGCCAAGGCCCATCTCCACACAGCAATACGCATGATCTGGTCTGGGTTCGGGACAGCCGGCCACACAATAATAACAGTCTCCCAGAGTGCTGATCTTTTCACAGCCAGTGAGCTCACAAAGTCTATCGAAACGTCCAAACAAGTCATTTAAAAGTCCTACAAGGGCATGAGCAGATTTGTTGGCAGACATTTTAGTGAATCCCACAATATCTGCAAAGAGGATGCTGACAGGCTCCATCCGCTTCATGTTGAAGGGTCTGAAGATGATCTGTCCTCGTGGGATGGAGGTTTTCTTGCGCTTATTGTTTTTAGGACTGGAGATGGCAGCAGCTGCTCCACTGGTGGAGTAACGTTTAACAGAATTGTCACCAATCTCCTCATCACCCTGCTTCATCAGTTCATCAGCCACAATTCTGGGCATGACCGAGTGGATCATTCGCTCCTTCAAGGCTTTCTCCACCTCCAGGTCTTTGCCATGCATGATAGCTTGTCCCACCTTAAGGAAGGTGCTGCGTGAGCGCACCTCAGACATGATGAACAGGTGGATGCCGATGGCATGAGCACAGAGATGGAGCAAGGCTTTGGCTGGGCCTAACCAGCTCAGTGTATCCAAGTCTGATGGAGAGGCTAAGTTCCACTTCTTCCCTACTTGGGTCAAGTGCAGCCAGCCCAAACTCTCAAAAAAGACAGAGTAGAGAAACCCGAGCAGGACAGAGGCGTAGAGACGAACATGAAGAACGCTGTATAGCAACAGGAGAACCTCGATGCAGAGGGAGAAGGTGCCCACTGGAGACAGACAGGGCGACCAGGTGTTCCCTCCCACAAGCTTGTCATAGGACAGGTTGTAGGCGGGCCCCATGCCACTGAATTCTTCCACATCAAGTGTCGGCGTGGGAGTCTCTGGGTCCCTGAAGCCTGATGTCTGGATCTGGGGGGCCAGAGTCAGGATGAAGGTGACAAGGATGAGCAGCAGAGATGCTTGGTTGTAACAGCGAGAGTAAAGCTTGGTAAAAGTTAGGAAGAAAAGAAGGAGGCAGAAAAGAAGGAATGAAGCAGTGGGAAGGAGAAAAGCAGCCCTATTGCATCGGGAAGGGTTGGCAGCGAAGTACAATCCCCAGAGGAAAGCAGCAGCTACCAGGTAAAAGAGCACATAGCGAAAGCGCCGCTGGGTCTGAGGGAAACACCGTTCTCTGCAGGCCTCCTCCAGGATAGGAGAGTCAAACTTTGGGTCCCAGAAATGACTTGCAGATCTCTCAAAAAGCTGAGGCATCTTCCTCTGAGTGCGAAAACTCTTGACCGCCGGCCTCCTCACTCCAGACTCTCCAGAACTACAACTAGAGGAAATGCTGTACTTGCAGTGCTTGGCTCCCCCCATGAAACCTCCCCCGATGGAAGCCAGCGGCCCGCCTCCGTGCTTGTGTTTGACACTGCTGCCAATCCTCACCGAGACGCCTCCATCTCCACTTGAGTCACAGCTCACTTCAGTGTTGTGAGGCAGCAGGTGCTGATGTTGGGGGGAAGCCATGCCGTCTCCTGTTTCTATCCAAAATCAAAAACTAGGCAGAAGGCACAGTTACTTCTAAGAAAACTTAAGATGAGGAAGTAAGGCAAATTATTTGGCCACAGTATAACAGCTGATTGTACTTAAAAGTGTGTCTCAAAAATGAAAAGCAGAGCACAAACAAAAACGTTTTCAGAGTGAATCCCTGTCAGTTTGCAGTGTTTTGGCTGAACAAACAGCAGACCATCCAAAGTTTGAGAGTCGTTCATTATTTCCCCTCTTGACGTCAGTCCCTGCATTCCTCTACATTCCCGTCTGTTTTGACGCACTTGCAACTGCAAGGTTCACTAACTGCCTGCCGTCTCAGTCCAAGTGCACTGGGCAGCCCACACTTTGCTTCACTCATTGGAAAATATTTGGAAAAACTGAGAGAATTTCAAACAGTGTGCGTAAAAAGAAAGGCTGGTTAAGAAAAAGCGATCAAGTGAATAAAAGCATTTAAAACAGCTCTTAAATTGTCACCAGATTTATGAGTCAGTCCCTGTTGTCGGTGTCCAGTGCCGACAATACCTCCGGAACCAAGCCTTGTCTTGTTGACAGTCTTGTCCAAACTTCACCAGAATAAGTCTGCCGCAGTGGTCGACTCCACATCTGCAGCTGCGTGGAAGAGAAACTCAGCTTTTCATTTTAAGTCGCAGGTCAACACCAGAAAAGGGGAACATGTGCGCGAAAACTGCCACCGGAGCGTTTATTTACCGCCACATGCTCCTTGCTGCAGGGCCCGGTTGGAGCCCCGTTCTTTCCTGGCTGTCCACCACTGCTGCGTCTCCAAACTCTGTTTATTTTGTGCGGGACGCAGATGCATGAGAAAAACATCCGATCAAACGGAGGGATTTATTGCAAGAGCTCAGCTGTCAGTGGCTTGTGCACAGACTCCTCCGAGGCAATGCGCCGACCGTCTTATTTCAGTGCTGCATCAGCGCTGCTTTGGTATCCACAGTCATGCAGTGCGCCCCAGGAAGCCCTCCAGAGGGTCTCCACGTCCGGACCATGGCGGGTCCAGGCTGCTTCTCCTTTCACACATCTACACCAAGTGTCGTCCAGCTCTCCCCTTTGTCTCTGCCAAAGTTTGCCAGCTTGGTCCCCGCTGAAGACGACGTGGGGCTAATTAAAGGTATCCACCTCCTCCACACCCCCCCAGTCCCACAGGTTAAAGCCGAGCACTGCTGGATCAGGACACTTGGACTGAGCTGGATGAGATGGAGGTAATATTCCTCCAAATGATTCCCCCTCCAGGTCCGAAGTGATGTGACGGATTCGGGCTGCTGCTCCGTCCAGCGTCTCCTCTCCCGTTATCGGAGCATCATCTGTGCGCTGCAGCGGCGTCGACACGTGCGGAAACACTGGACGCTGCAGCCGCCACCATCTTCTGAGAGCTGCCAGCCGTCGATCCGAGACAGGCGAGTGTGTGTGTGTGCGTGTGCGTGTGTGTGTGTGTGTGTGAGAGAGAGAGAGAGAGAGAGAGAGAGAGAGAGAGAGAGAGAGAGTCAAGTGCACCGGAATAAAGTAAACCCCACATCCGCTCTTTACAAAATCCCATCAGCGGCTCATCGCGTGCTTCTTTATTGTCAGTACAAGACGACAAAAATGCAGTTTAGCATCTTACCAGGCGTGCAAAAGAAGCAGTAAAGGTGCGGTGTAATGTAAGATGTCTCTTTAAGGTAAGTATGAACGCAGATGAAGATATATGTACATATGGTACGAGCAGTATTAGGAATATAAATACTGCATGGAAGTCTGCAAGACACATGGATTTCAAGATGTACAAGTAATATTTACAGTGTGTGCAGTGTGGCTACATACAGTATGACACAGTGGACAGCATGAACACATTCAGGCTATAACGAGAATAAGCTGTAAATAATAGATGAATAACAACATACAGACGGATAGATGTAAATATAAAGATGACAGCATGGACAGTGGATATGAGATGCAGGATATATAAATAGTCTGAGCTGTAGGTGATATCAGTGTGCGGATAAATGATATAAATGACAGAATAAAGAGTGAAAAAATAATTTTAAAAAAGCTTTTTGCACTGAAATGACTTACTCATTGATGACACCGATGGTATTGGTGTAACACAACAGATATTATATATTTATATATTAGTATCTGCATTTATATTTACTTTCCTAAAGGTTATTGAAGCCCCCAACATACTTTTATTTTGAAAATAGTTGCAGGTTTTCCGTTTGGTGTTACCACTAACTTGACGCTGTTTGCTGAGCAGAGGGGGAGGAGGGGAGGGGAGGGGAGGGGGAGCCCTCGGTTCAGGAACGTGCACGTGCCTCGTTGAAAGAAAAAGGTTGAAAGGCAGCGAGCACGTCTTTAGGGGGAGGGTGTGTTTGTCTTTTTTCTTTTTCTTTTTTTAATTAATCATCATGAGTGAAACCTCGACGTGCCCTTTAGCAGCTCCTCCATCTGCTCGTCTTTTCAAGAAGCTTTTCAACAATTAGTGGCAAAATACCAAATATATGCAACAGGACAACTGAAATATAAATGATGGAGATAGAAGCAGCTGATTGCACGTCGGCCTCCAGTATGTGCAGCAGACCTAAATGAGGACTCTGTTCAGAAGCATGAGAGAAATATTAAGCAGCAGTCTTCTGTATTCATACTGTAGCTTCACAGTATATTAAAGGGATCCCCAGTGAGCACTGTGCTACCCTCTTACACTCCACCTGCAACCAACATAGAACTGATTCCCTCCATAATAAGATCAGTAAGTGCCTTGTCATAGAACTTGTTTGCATGACATAGCAGGCATTTCCTTGCCAAAATGAGCTCATTATATTCTGTTGTATTTTTGATGCAGAGGCTTGAGTTAGAACCTGTTGCAAATGTCTGATCTACAGAGGAAACGCATTTACAAAGGACCTCTTTAAGACAAGTCGATAAAGCAGAATTTTTGGCATTTTTCTGTGTGGAGGGATATTTTAAAAGTTTTTTTTCTAATTTTACATAAAGCCTTAGTGTTTAATTGTCTTTTAAATCATCATTTGGTTTCATATACACACTAACACCCCCACATATACACACTCCTTCCATCACACACACACATACCCCTCCCCACTTCCAGTCACGACAAACTGTTGGTGCATTGCAGCTACGGGGTAAAATCCTGCTTTTAAACCCAAAAGATTAAACCCTCGGAGAATTGCAATCTTGGGCAACAAGGTGTAAAGAGAGAGACACGAAACAGAGACATGAATGTAGAAGGACAGAGAGAACCATCCAAAAACAAGAGGGAGAGAAAAAGTTGTTCTCTTGCTTTAGAGATTCTGCATTTCACCAGAATAATCACAACGTTTCTCCGCCTAGTCCATCAGAAATCTTTATTCTTGACGATCAAGCTTCCAAAAACTGGGCCAAGGTTAATTTAAATTTTATACCAAAACAAAAAAAAAAAAAAAAAAAGTGAATCAACAACTACTTTAATGGGACACACATCTGTTCAACATCTACTTCACGGGTAATTGAAGATAAGTGACACTGAAATGTACCAAAAGCACAACTATGTCACGAAGCTGTCTCCCCACAATAAACTTTTGCTGTGATGAGTGCTCCTTTGTGGTCTGTATCTGTTAGTCTTTTACACAGCACTCTCTAGTGGGCATGTTCTGGATCTGCAGTGTAAACATACTAAACACACCCAGTGGAGCACTCAGAAACAAGAAGAAGCAGCTTCCTTGGTTTGTTATATTCATCTGCATCATGCCTCAGAGCGAGGTTGAACAAAAAAAAGCAGTCAGGATTAGTGAGACAGGACATGGAGGGGACTGGAGGTGTCCATGACTCCGTTAGTACCACCTACCTGTTTGTATTTAAAGCATAGTTTGTTTGTTTTAATTTGGTGACAACATCAGTACCAGCAATTGTGTCTGAAAGGTACATACGAAGCGATAGCCAGCAGCTTGTTAGTTTAAATTAGCATAAATACTGGAAGCCTGGCTGCATTAGAAGGTAGCAAAATCCACTTAAAAGCACGTCTAATACCAACCCTCTTCAAAAACCAAACTAAAGAAATGATATGTTGCAGTTCAGGTGGGTGGGGCATGGCCATCACATGTTGTGATGTCCAATATATGCGTCTATCTTTCAGTTTAACTGTGCCACACTGTGCCCGAGACGTTCGTTAAGCTTCACAAGAACCGGCAGCTTCATAAGTTTCACCCTCTACCGTTGTGAGGGCACAGACAGAATTTAGGGTTTCCTTCTTTCCATAGAGGTCAGGGGTCAACTCATGAGTCCTCCACTTCACCTTCACCTCCATCTAAGAAATCCTCCATCACAGAGACTCACCTTCACAGTCTTGCGGTGACGTTTCGGATTGTGCAGCAGGATTTTTCAGCGCACATACACGGCCCACTTCAATGCCCATTTGGAAAGTTACGCGGAAAAAAAAAAATCAATAAATATCTTTCTAACCTGCAGAAGAAATGGCAGAACAAACGGACAAAAATTCAAGCACATCATTCATGTGTTGTTGTTGTTTTTTTTTTTGTGGTCACTCAGCTACAAAAAGCTGGGAAGCTTATCAGTGAAGGAAAAAAATCATTCTTAACACACAGCATTGAATTTCTGGCAAATGTATAGACTCAAACAAAAACAATAAGAACAGTTAAGAAGCAGAATGAACAAACCCGGTCCGCTCTGAAGACTCTGACCCCTGAACCCTGACCTCTGCTCATTTCACAGGTTGTCAACAACCAAGACTGACGAGCATAAAAACTAAGAATGGCCTCATTTGTTGCACGGCAGGAAGGTTTAGGTGTCAGTAACACGAAGACATATTGCTCGATTATGTTAGAAGTAAAATACATGCATCTGTTAAATAAGATGTGATATCTAACATGCAGTGTTAATCTATGTTTCAAAAGCAAAGGTTTGGATGACCAAGACTTTTTATAGCACCCACAAAAAGGCTACTTCAAAAACAACTTCTGAAGCTTGTGGAATTCACCTGCTGCGATGCAATCTTTATAATTTTACAACACAGATTTCTGTTTCCACTTTTCCTGTTTTATTCACATACAAGGGAGCTGGTATTTGACTAGTTTCAGTCTCAGGATTTTCAATTTTTATTTGATCTTACTTATTCTTTTCCATTTCTGTTTTTTCTTCATCATTATTGCCCCAACCCCAAAGTCCCAGACAGTCCGATGTGTGCAAGGGAGAGAGGAAGGCATGTATTTTATCAAAACTCAGTAATCAGTGGCGTGTTCTCATTTCTTCAGCATTTGTGTCCTTAAGCTGCCTTATCAAACAATGACCCTCCCTCCTACTGTCTGCATCATTCTTACTCCCTAAATGTGCCTCCCTGTGTTCTCCTGAGGAAAAAAACAAACTTTAATCTTGTCTCCTCCACAATACAAACGTTCTGACAAAAGGAGAGCTGGCTTCCACCAGACCCCTTCTCTTCTCTTCACTTCCTCTTTCTCCTGACTTCCTCCACTCGAGTTATATTGTGTTCCTCAGTTCTTTCGGTAACGGTTCTTTGGCTTCTCTCCACAGCCAGTGGCCTCGCAGGAGGACAGGCCAGGCTGCTTGCCAGAGTTAATGCTGCTCAGGAGGGCAGGCAGCTCATTGGTGATTGCCCTCTCAATCTTATCCAGCAGACAGCCTCCCATGTAGGAGCACTGAGCTGACAGGGGCTTGAAGTTGGTGATTGGGTTGATGCCAAAGAAGTCACGGTACGCATCTCGGTTGGGCAGGTCAAACTTGCTGACATTGGTCTTGGCTAGGATGGATTTAAAAATGTAGAACTTGTCTGGCTCATCCACAATCTCCTTGAAGACTAGCTCGGGGTCACTGAAGAAGCTCATCTTCTCTTTAAAGGTCTGGACGTAGCGATCTACCAGCAAGCCGTGGATGCGAACACGGATACCATGTTGGCGGATGAAGGCAATCTTGTTCTCCATGCGGTTTTCGATCACCTGGTTGAGATCTTCCAGGAGGGAAATCTCTTCTCGCTTGAAAAGCTCACGGCTGGTGTCAGGTGCATAATCGTACGGCCAGAAGGAGCTGACGTAGACACGAGGGGGTTCGGTCACATTGATGAGGGGCGCTAAGCTCCAAAAGAGTGCTCCGTAGACTCTCATTAGGTCCTGGGTGGCCAGGTTGTCAGCCTTGTTTAGGATGATGCGGATCTGGGACTCACGACCCTTCAACTGCCGGAAGAGCATCTCCAGCTCTAAACCGACATCCAGCTTCGTGGGATCGAACACCACGAAGATCAGGTCTGCACGGTCAATGAACCACTGGCAGACATCGTTGAAAGGATAGCCTGAATGAAACAAAAAGACAAACAAACACTGAGTTTCACCACCTTACTGCTTTGCATGTCAGTTGTGGCATCTGACAAGGTGCCGGCTTTTACCTCTCTCCTGCTGCTTGCGGTTCTCAATGATTCCTGGTGTGTCCACAAAAGTCACACGTTCCAGCAGCTTGTGGGGCATCTCAATACCGATCAGCTTTTCCAGGAAGTTTTGGCCAAACTTCTCCAGGGGAGAGAAGGAGCGAGAGCTGTCTGCTGCCATAACGATACCCTCAACAGAGCGGATCTTCTCCCCGTGCATAATAACAGTAAACTCAGAGGTAGTAGGCTCAGCTCCTGCAGGACAAAGTCAGAGAGGCAGAGAAGGAGAGATTAGCAAGATGAATACTGGGACTGGAAAATGGATTGGGAAACACTTTAAAGAAGAAAATCTGATTAGAGCTACGCTGAAATGAGAGAGGAGATGTGAATAAATTCAGCCAAGGCCTGAAATCCCTCTTTCACATCGATAAGATGTCATGGATCTAATTTATCAGAACCTTTGTGATGGCATCTGCCCACTTCATAATCACATTCTAGCACTTATGTATGTCACCCTGTACAATTTAGATAAGGCAGCTGCCTGTCTAGTGGTCTTGCAGATTTATGGTGACATGTTAGGAGAATTTCAGCGTTAAAGGTTCTTTATTGCTAATCTAAAAAGATTTTTTAAACAGTGCATCCTACCTGTGTAGAGCTGATAGGGGCTATCTTGCAAGCCCAGGAGGTAATTTATCATGGAGGACTTTCCTACACTCCAGGGTCCCAGGAACAGCACCATGGGCTTGGAGGTAATCTCACCGTCTGTTGGGCGAGGAGACACAACAGCGATGAACATCTTAGCAGCGTGGCTAAATGGTGATCAAGACCTTTCAAGTTCATCCCAAATTTTAGATGACAAACGAAATACCACTTATGTTGAGATTGGTTTGTTGCTGATAAGAATAAGTGTGAGAACCTCAGCTGTTCACTGTTGACCTGTTCTGAAACATGAAAGTTTAACCAAGACGTCGGTCAATCCAAAGGGTATCCTGGAAGTCTTTTTTTTTTTTTTTTTGGGATGAACTAAACTTCAGGTTTGAGAGACACTGAAGAGATGTTTAAATAGCACTGTCACTCCCAATCCAGAGGAAGACCGAGAAAGAAAGTAAACAACAAATAGAAGCAAACGACTGTGTGTGTAAGCTGTTAGGGTGTTTTAAAGCGTAAGAAAAAGTTCAGCCATTTGTCACGACACATGACACAGCAGTACCGTTACTCTGACAGAAGTCTCAGCAGGGCAAAGCTGTGTGCTCTTAGCAAGCTGACTTGTGTGTGTTGTGAGTGGACATGGAGTCGGGGTGGCAGGGCACAAAGTTCTGCAATAACCTTCTGGTCCAAATCTGAATGCATCTAATAGAAGATTGTGAAAAAAAATATATTGATAAAAGACAAAAAAAAAAAAAGAGTGAAGAGACAACGTGTGATCACAAAAGAAGACAAAAATGCTGACTGCTGGTGGCCTTTACAATGACTGAGTCAGTTCCCTCCTAGCTGACCACCCTTTCCCACCACTGCCCCCTCCTCAAGCCTGTGTGTCCTTTACAGCCAAAACTGCACATGCAACCCCTCCATACACTTCACAGAGTGATTTTTAGCCTCTCAATCTTAAAGTCTATTCAGTTTGTGACACATTTCTCCCCTTTGGATCGACATAAGGTGTAAATCTTTCCATGGACCAAAGTCTTTGCCCGTGGCCTGCTTTGACGACGCCCCGAACTGTGATGTCAATATCTGGTGTCTCCCAGAGTGCAACGTGAAATTTTGGACCCACAGAGAGCAAATGGAGGGGCTGAGCACTTCAGGCAGTGCCATGCACAGGTAAGCCCTGCCCACACCCACCTGTGGCTGAGTCCCCCAGGGTTCGTCCGGGGTAGGCTGTTAGATGAGGGGATGGTGGAGGACAGGAGAGGGTGGAGCACAGAGAGGTGAAGGGAACAGGAGGTGGAGGAAAGCTCAGTGAGGGAGTGAGGTTTCTACAAGCAACAGGGAGGGGTAGACTAACAATGTACATGAATGGGTGGGAGCTCCTGGCTGGAATCTAGCTCCATATTTGACCTACAACGTGTCAAACATGTCAACAAATGGATGGCGTGGTCAGGTTATGAGTGAATTTACTTGTGTCTACAAAAAGTAAATGTTCACTGAGAAACATGATACAGGTTGAATTTGAGAAGTTTGCATGCAAGCCAAGGCCGAAAAGCCACAAGAGGGCGAGCTTTATTTCATTGTGGGAAAGACGAGTTTGTTCTCAGCAGTTCAGTGTGCAGCTCAGAGAAACAACGCAAAATCCTTTAAAAACTCAAACTACGAAAAGTCGTCAAAGAAAAATGAAAAGTAGGACTAGAAATATTTAAGCAACATTACAGGTATAATATGAAAAAAAACACCTTTTTTCTTAACAACACAGTTATTTGCGGTGAAAGCTGAACAAAAGTAATGAGAGTACAGATAATCTATTACAGTTACACATTCACTGTCTGTGACGCCCAAGAGTGGAAAAAAATACGCTTTCTTGCCGTTATGTGTCAGTTTGGTGGCGTAAAGATGATGCGTGTGTCCAGACAAGTCTACGAATCAGTCACTAAAGCAACCCAAACAGAAAATCCACACAACAGAACAAAGTGAAGCACGGCCGAAGCCGTCTGTGGTACCTGAGATCTCGTGCTGCCTCAGCTCGTTGTACTTGTAGGCCTGCTCCATCGGCTTGATGGATGTGTGGTAGATCTTCCGCAACCTCTGGAGAGCCGCTGGAGGATCAGAAAGATGTTGGAAAGAGAGCTCACACACTATGTCTACATGTTTCACATACTAATGAGCTGCAAGTAGTTTCTTCTAAAACAGAAAAATGAAAAAAAAATATCTGTATTTGTTTCAAATATTTTGACAATGATCCCTCAGGTGCATATTTAAGAGAACACATGCTTCTGTTTAGTAAACGTCTTTGTAACGAACCACATTTCTTGATCATGTCCTGCATAAATAAATGATTAGGAAGACACACACACACACACATCTCCTAAGGATTATGCAAAAGTCAAAAGGAAATCAAAGAAAGGGAATCAAAGGAAATTACAACAGCTTGATGTGCTTCACTGAGCTCACTAAAATCTGTCACTTTGAGCTTCACAAACAACTTTTGTCCACATCTGTTGAATCCTCACCTGCATAGTCTCCTGCTTTCTCTTCAGTTGCAAGTCGCAGCGTCTCATCGATGTGAGATCTGTCTCTGAGGACGCCGGTGAAATCTTCTTCTTCTTCTTCTGTAAAACAACATTAAGAACATGTAACCTCAGTCTTTAATGGCGAAGGGCTAATGAAGGGACCCGCATCGATCAGTACATCCTGGGTGTAGCACCACTGTGGGGAAGTCTGGTGCAATACAAAGGCAGCTGATAAACACTGGAGGACAGTTTTGTATCAGATAACAATATCAGTGTCAAGAGATCTGAGTTGTCTCGTGATCAGATGTTTTAGCTTTGATTTCATCTGCAGCCGCTTGCTGTGTGAAGCTTTACAGCACAGAACTGGAACAGAAGAAAAGTCTCACAGTCACGTTTCTGCAAACTAGATTTGAACATCTTTAGGAACCTGCATAAATAATCCATCTGTTTCAATTCCATGTTGTGTAATCCTAAATATTTAGACACTGTTTTTTTTTTCAGCAAATAAAACCAAAGTATTTTTGTGAGCTTTTGGAGACTAAACCAAATCTTTCATTTTAGGGAAGGTTGAGTTACTTTTTAGGTTTTTAAGTCACCTACATACCAGGACAAATATACTTTATCAATGACACTTCAACATGTGAACAGGAGCCGCTTGGAGCTGAAACCACCATCTGATTTGTCCCAGCTGAGTTCTGTCACAGCTTATTTCAATCTTAATCGCTTCATATCAATCAGTATTCTGACCAATCCTTTCGTAAATGATCAAGTATTTAAAAAAACATTTTTAAACAAGAATAAACACATTTTAGGGAGCGTTTGGAAAGTTTTACTGCTGCATTAGTTGTGTGTAGGAGAGGGAGATAAAATCCGAGAGAAAGCATTTGCTCACCAGTCGTGTCCACTTTTGAACATATTGGATTACTTAGATCACAGCTGTTAGTACAATCAGCTCTTAATTTAGAAGGCAAACGCTGAAAATAAACAGACAAAGACATGTGTTTGGCATCACTATGGGCTTTATAACAGCAGCAAAGATAAGACAGAGGGAGAGGGACTTCCCCAGTTTCATAACAGACGAGCAGGAGAACTCAGAGCCGCACCGACTGTTCCCATCGATGATATGCATGAGACAATGATGTGCAATCCTCTGTCTTTTCTCGTCTATATTTAGCCGCCAATCAGAGACTTGTCCGGCTCTGAGGTCTGTCCTTGTGTGCCCAGGCCTCAGAACAGACCTCCCATAACGCCTCCACACTGCTCTGCTTCAGACAAACCCGCCACCAGATATATTTAGGTCTTCCTGGTTCACACCTCTGTGCCCTGCAGAGGTTATGGGTCTTAGCTTCCAAGCTACCAGACGCTCCCTTAATAGAGTTGTTAAAGAATTTTACAGCATGTAATTGGAACATTGCAGCTGATATAGTAGCAGCTGTAGGGTTATTAATTGCAGTAATTTATTTGTAAATCAGGCCATGAAAAGCACATGTCATGATCTGACTGATGCTGTTTTATAAACACGTTGTATGCATACTTCCTGTCAGCACCGCCCAGTTAACGTCCATTTACTGGCACTGGAAACTTATAAACATAGTTCAAATTGGATGCTTGACTTTATCCTTAAACAAGATGGAAATCTTTCCTATAACTTCATATAACTTCCTCCATATTTCTGGAAATCCTTGGCAAAAATCTGAGTAAAAACAGATCTAAAAAACCTTCCAATGTTGCAGTCTTATAAACTAATAACAACTGCTAGGAAAGCAAGAAAAGTCGGCACTGTTGCTCAGGGCTCAACCCTCTGATCTCAGCTGGTGAGCTGCTGAATTTACGTTGGACTCATCACAAACTGACTCGGGTGAAGCAGAGACACGTGGAGAAGAAAGATGAAAGATATTTGTCTAGATTAGAGCTGCAGACACCTGAGGCCAGAGGGACAACACTTTGATCTTCGGATATACAGTGCTGTCAGAAAACAGCGTCACTTATGGAGCATGTGCCAGTTTAGGAAATGCTTCTGCTCTGGTGTACAATCAGACATTACTGCTGCAGCTCCATTACATTTTTCACCTAAATATTGATGCTCTTCATCATAATGATGGTCGATGTCTAAATTCGTAGCAGATTCTGGTTGAAGCGAGAAGCAGAAGGAATCAGCAGGTGACTCAAATATTCCTTGAGACACTCCAGTATGCTCTCTATAATCCCGCTCATTGAAATCTTCCACTGAAACATAAAGTTTTCTATCAGAAAATATGTTAAAAAAATGTTGTGGTTTTTGGTATCAAACCCAAAACTGTACTGATAAAAAGGCCCGACCAGGATGATGTCATGGTATTCTGCACCTAACAATAAACTCTACATGAATGTAAGCAGACTCCATCCCCTCAGAGGGCGGTTCTGCTGCGGCGTCCTGCACCGTAACCTGGAGTAAAGCCACCGGCCATGTGGCCGATGACTTATAATGTTTCTGGCCAGGAGTCAGAATGGCACGTCGCTTTGGCCAAAACTAGTGGTGCATCAAATGACAAGCGAAATCATCCGAAGGCCGGTTTGTTTACAAGCCTGCAACAATGGATGTTTATGAACTACGAGTCTTTTAAAGATTAATAGATTTGCAATAATTAGAGCGAGCTGAATTCAATAGAGGTGTTTCTCATTCATCAAACATGCAGACAGCTACTGCAGTCAGTTCAGTATATTGGATTGTCAGACCACAGAAGTCCACATGGGACATCTCAGTAAATGCACCATTATATGACAATGTACAACCCAGAAAAGACCTCCCACAGCTGCACATAGCTCAGCCGTTAATTAAGACAAAAGTTGCTCCTTTGCTGTGTGGCAGCAGTGACACACTGCTGGTTAAGGAACGAGGCAACACTGCTGATTCTCCCCGAGTCAACCTGCTAAAAATAAGTCTGTGTAATGTTGCTGCCAGCACGGTGCAAGAACAAGGGAAACCAAAAGGTTAATAGCCAGAATAAAAGTAGGGTCTGAGTAATACCCAAGCCCTGAAAAGGTTCATTAACAAATCCATACGCGTTAAGCTGCAGGGTTTGCATTTGTTCTCAAGAGGATACTGTCGAATATTGTGGAAAGGGAAGAAATGTCTTTTTAAAGCATCTGATCGTCGTAATGATGCACAAAAAATAGGTGTTAACTTTTTTTTTGCATGCCATGTCTCTGCTCTACCTCAGAGACACAACATATAATATGAAAATAAGCTCCACGGCATCACAGACATGAAATCTGATTTAGCTCAGATGACAACGACATGCCTTTGCAAAGCGATTTTTGTTCACATGACCTTTAGAGACACCAACAAGTGATGTCATTCATTTGTGACCTGTGGCAGCCATTTTGAAACTTAGATGCATCACATTGCACAGGTTGGTCGATTTCAGCCAAAGAGAAACATTACACAAAAACCAGTTAAGGTCATCTGAACAGTCATTAGTTAGAGTTTGAATAGAATGTGAATACAGCTTAAAAGAGTGATTTCTGTTTGTCAGGGAGAAGTGACCCATCAGAAGACGCCGAGGATGATTCCACTCGGAGGCTCAAGTGGCTTTTGAGGAGCACATCCCACCTCTGCTTCACCACAGCACACAAAGCTCCGTCAAGCTTCTGTAACTTGACTCATCACTCAGAAGAGTCACATCTTTTAACACCAGCCTCTTGAGAGGGCCTTAACTGCTGTGAACTTGTTAACACCTTCCAATCCAGTCAATCCCTGATGGAGGCTCTGCAACGGAGCTCCACAAAGATCACAGAGGTAATGTTGCCCGCCTTTGCATCAGCGCTCAAAATTAACCCTGCAGGCGCCAGGGGAGCTGAACCCTGGACATCTGTGCCCAGGACCCGGTGTCCTCACTGAGCCCGTTGCCACACAACCCTCCCTCAGTTTGGAGAAACACTCTGACGGCATCGGCACATCCTACAGGAATGTTGGCGATTTAAGCCGACCATCGCCCCAGAATAAGTCATACTTCAACTGTGGGTTTAATGTGGAGGCCGTTCGGTCATCAGAAACAATGTCAGTGTGAAAAACATCTACAGCAGAAATGTGTCATCAGATATTTAAATTTCGCCAGACTGACTGACTGTACTTTCCTTAAAGCTGAGTTAGGCAGAAGATAAGAGACACAACCCCAACCACTGGAGATGACAGAGCGAGTTATTCTAAGCAAACAGATGCATTATTTAATTTGAGCATTCAGCCAGGGAATTTCCCAATGTCTGTTCTAATGCATGTGTGTGTTGGTATGCGTATGCAGTCATGTGTATTTCCACTGTATATATTAAGTATCTGTATATGTGTGAAACCCCGGGATCATGTTCTGCTTGCAGCACAGTGACGATAAATTGAATTAAAGTGAACATGATGAGGGCAGCGGGCCTGGAACTCCCACTTAGAGGATTTATCCTGAGCATGGGGGGATTCAGGCAACCTTAACTGAAGGCCAAGGGGTTCCACTGGAAAGATCAGTGGAGAGGCATCGATTTCAATCAGATTTAAAGAAACTAAACAAACATTTTACTTTATCGCTGGTTTGTAAAATATGACAGGATTTAAATTGCAGCAATACAAAAATTAACTCACTTTTGACAGACATTGAAAACACAGAACATTTCAGTAAAAAAAAGCACATGATTGGTAAATAAACTCATAACCCTAAAAAGGCAGATGGTTCTTGCTGTGGCGAGGGCAGTTAAGAGAGCTGGTGCAGGGTGTGGTGAGAGGAGGCCACAGATGGCAACAGGTGGCCCAGCGTGTGGAGCTAGTACTCCCCCAGCGTCAGAAATAGCCCTACAATGGGTCAGGAGATGGACAGAGGAGGGGACCGGACGACTGCTGCCTATTTTGAGATTTTGACTGTTAGTCAGTGTGGAGACGTCCACAGAGCTGACTGCGTAATGTGCAAGCCAGCCAAGTGAAAGGTTCTGTACTGAACGCACGTGTAAGTTCACATGCAAATACGATTGTCCCCAAATCTAGAAACTGAATTCCTCTTGACATGACATGCAGCTCATTTACAAACATAATTCAGTCTTCATTACTTCCACGCTACAGCTGGTAGTCGATTTATTCCAGACAGAAAGTGCTGACATGAATTTTGTTTTAGAGTTAAAAAAACAAACAAAAACACCAGTGACACCGACGTGTGTGAACCACATCCACACTGCAAGTCCTCTAAGAGGTCACTGACAACCAGACTTGACAGGCCAGGCTCAAAGAAGGCGTGACAGCAAAGGCACTTTACGCTGAGGTGTTGATCTGATGCCTCTATCCCTGCTCTCCTGTTTGAGAGCCAGCAGAGGACGTCAGGTGCCCTTGAGACTGGCGGGGGGTTGTCTTAAGGAGGCAGTCGGGTATGACTGGCGTGTTCCTTCTACTACTAACAGCTCAGGGATGTCCCAGACACGCCACATGCCATCAGTGGGAATCACGTGGCGACTGTGCTCCTTTAACTTTCATTTGCTCCCCCTTTGCAAAGCGAGGAGGCCAAAGATGTTTTTATTGCACCGAGGATGGATAATGTTACCAGCACATACAAACACACGAGCATGAAGAACTGATGGAAGCCCCGAAGATGCAAAAATATCAGTGTTTAGTTAAAGTGGTGCAGAAATATTCCCCACAGAGGATTTTTTTTTCTATGTAGACTCTCAGTGTGTTAAGCAGCAAAATAACGCATTTATGTAGGATTTCTAGCAGCCCGATCACAACGCTACTGTAACTATTGTGTTTATCATCACATGCCAACATTGAACAGTGTCAGACCCACATAAAACCTCGGAGCAGCATAAAGGCAACAGGTTTGTCACGTGACCTCTGTAGATCCATTCACAGGACCTAAAAGCTCAGCTCGCTTTGTCAGGGAAAGTTGAAGCTGTTAAGCAACTGCAGGCTCGTGTCTGTAAAGACGAGCTGGATCTTGTTACACCTGAGGTCAGGGATGCCCAAACACACAAAGGGGACTTATTCTGGCAAAAAAAAAATAGGACTTCTGTCATGTCTACGATGTCCAAAGTCATCATGTCTTTACTTCATAGTTTTAGTTGATGCAATGTACGCCGGTGATGTAATCAACAGGTTCAGTCCTCAGATTGGATCGAAATAGAGATGACAAGAATTTGCAAGATCAACATTACCTGCAGGCTTCAGCTGTATTTCTCACAAATTGTTCACCGAATAAGTTGCTCTGCTTTTTGGACCAATAAATCTGGACAACCACAGAACAGTAAGAAACCAACAATGAAATGATAGCTAATCAATGTCACATTCCTTCAGAAGGCGATAACGCAGTCTGCTTCTCTCTGCACAGTCAGCTACTTCAGTGCACTTCCTGACAGTGATCAAACTGATCAATAAGGCAAATAATTACACACTGAGTGGCAAGGACTTCATGATTCTCATAACTATCCATATCCTGCAGGTATTGCAATCAAAATTCCTGTGTGCTTTGCAGAAAGAAAACTCTATTGGCAGTATGTTTAGAGGCAGACACCACCAAAAGACACCTGCAGAAAGGGTCTTTGAAAGCTGCAGCCACAGCCTGGCCCCTCCTGCCTGGAGAATGCATGTCCCTAAAAGGCCAACTGCTGGGAATAAATTGTGATTGTGACAGTGCAGAGTGACAGCAGCTGTGCTGTGTATCTAAAGCGAAGCATGGAGCTGGGAGGGGTGAGGAGTCAGGAGAGAAGGGGAGTCGAATGGAGGGAGGGCGGAGCTGTAGTGGACAGTGTTGGGTTTCAGGAGGCCTTCCAATCTTAGACACCTGACAGCAGCCTGGAATATGGAGGCCTGGGTCTGGGCTGTGGAGCTGAACGCCACCCCAAGGACGGACAGGGGTGACAGACAAGGGTAACAATAACCGCTCCAGTCCAGAGCCACAGAGCCGTCCGCATTTTTAGACTGGGTAATCTGGGAGTAGCTAATAGCTCACCATGACATTCACCTCCGTAGCTGCCATTTGAAGGTATTCACTGACATACAGTTATGATCTCCGTCGGCTACTGATGTTCAAAAATGCTGCACACAAAAGTAATTTCTTCAAATAGACACAACTTTAAGAATAAACCAAAGAGACCAAATCAGCAAATACAGATAAAGTGCAGCGTCCATTCAACTTCCCACATAGCTGTTCTGCTCTCCTTGGTTCGACTAAGACTTTCCATCAGCTGGTGCCATGCCCTCGGACAGCTGACAGCAGAGGCTCAACAGCTCTGACCGATCCCGAACCTCTCCCCTTCAGTAACTCACCAAAAGTTGTGAATTTATTTTAACATCCAGATTCACAGATATTACAGTGTGGTGTTTGTTTCTTGACTTCATAATTAAAAATATCACAAAGCTAGATTTATGATTTAGTTGTGGGCGCCAGCTGTTAAACTGTAACCTGGGACACATTTTAAATAGTCCAGAGAAAGATCGGGGTACAATTTCTGCCTGTCTATCCTTGGTTGGCTGGTTGTGGACTCTTAAAGCCAGAACCATTTGTGGCCAAATCGTCCCCACAATCGAATCAAATCCTCTCAGAACTATTTCCTTTGGCCTCATGACAGCTCATTCCTGATGATCCTCCTCTGAAAACTCACTGTGAGGTGAAGCTAGCAAGCCTCAAGGCAGCCTCTAAACTTACACCACATCACTTTTTCATTCATCATCAGTACATGAACGTATATTATGCAAACCGTGCACCGCCTTATATACAAAACTGGACATTTTACCAAAACGAGTCTTACCTGCTGTGGCCTGCAAAAGCAGCAGGGAGAGGAAACAGCAGATCGAGACTGCACCCTTCATGATGGCTGCCAGGAGAACTTTGGTAGTCACACAGACTATATATACCGAGGCAGGAAGGTTAAAGTGCACAGAGAGAGAAGAGGCGGGGCGCAGCGAGGCCAGCTGGTGGAGGGCTGAGGTCTGTGAAAGCATGCCATAGGGGCTCTACATGGACGAGCAGCTGACTCTCCTTTTTAGAGACGCTGCAGCCTGGGCCTCAACATCACCGCACCGCCTGGCTCCGTCCTCCACAGCACAATCACTGGACTTCTCACTGATAGCTTCACAGACCGCTGTCAATCTTCTCATATAATTCTGTGCAAGAAAGTGAAATAGTGGAATAGTTTTTTTTTAAAATCATAAATTCTATATTCATTACACATAGAGTGAAATATTTCAAACCTTTATGTTTTAATTTTGATGATTATGGCTCAAGGAGATCAGAAATAAAGTGTCTCGAATGATTCGAATATTTACTAAGAATAATTTTTAAAAATACAGAAATGTCCATTTTCTGAAAAGTCTGTCCATTTCATTCACTTCGTACTTGTTGTTGCTCCATTACCATGAAGCAGTGCATGCAGGAGATCAGCCCGTGGTTCTGCTGAGGTCTTATTGGAACTCAGGTTGGTTTGATAGCAGCCTTCAGCTCCTCTGTGTTTTTGGATCAAGTGTTCCTCATCGTCCTCCTGATGATGCTCCATTTGGGGTTCCGTGGGGATCAGGTCAGGCCAGTCAAGCACTGCAACATCCTGGTCAAACCCTTTGTCAGTAGTTGTGTCTGATCAGTTGCTGCTGTAAAGGAAGTCAGCGTCTCCATGAAGCCTGTCAGCAGATGATGGAAGCTGTACCGGCTTTGGACCTGATAGAACTCAGTGGACCGACACCAGCAGATGACACGACAGCAGAAATCCTCTCAGACTGGAGAAACTTCACCGTGGACTTCAGACTCTTTGGATTCTCTCCTCTCTCCATCCAAACTCATGGACCTTGATCTCCGGATGAAAAGCAGAATTTAGGACTTTGGACCACTGAGAGCAGTCCGGCTCTGTTTGTCCTCGACCCAGATAAGATGTTCGGGCTGTCTTCGGTCCAGGAGTGTGTTGATATAATCTTAGCTCCTTTCCTGAAGACGTCTGGTGGTTCTGGATGTTCTGACTCCAGCCTCAGTCTTGTGAACGTCTCCAAGCTTCTTCAGTCCTCTGAAGGCTGCACCATCACTGTTGCTTGTTCACCTTTTCCTGCCACACTTTTACCTTCCAATCAGCTTTCCATTAATCTGCTTCCATCCAGAGACCGTCTGTGGCTCCTTGTGGACGATGTTCATCATCATACTCTGGACAACTTCCTGTGATTGTAGTTGCTGTACTGAACTAGACCAATAGTTCATTTAACAAAAACTTGAAATAAGATATTCTAATATTTTTAATAATATATTGTTTTGTTGGCTACAACCCATAACTATCAGAATTACAATTTTGAAAATGCTTGAAACATTTTACTTCACATGCAATGGCCACTGTCCTTGAATAGCTGTGAGTCTGTGTTATTGCTTTACTGTTCTTTGTTTATTTGTGTATCATATATCTGTTTTATATGAGCTTTTTTGACTTTGTATGGCTGCTACCTTGGCCAGGTCATCCTTGTAAAAGAGATTTCTTGAGATTCCTGGCTAAATAAAGATATATAATGGGCCTAGAATACATTACATTTTCACTTTCTTAAATAAATGATTGAAAATATTAAACGTTTTCACAATATTCGCCATCAGGCAGTCAAAGAAAGTTAATCTTTTTCAAAATGTCAGACTACACTATTTCATTAACAGGTACTTCAGTTTGACAGATTGAAAATGAACACTGTTGTCCTCTAAATTAATATTGAACATAAAAAAGAACAAAAGCATCCTTTAACCGACAGCAGATCTCAGTGACCTGCTGGGTTGCTTTGCTTAGCAACAAATGATGATCAGATGACTGTAGCAGCTTTACTCTTGTAGTAAATGTGCTCCGAGAAAAGGGAACCCTTGTCTAAACTCTTACTCTGGTAAGAAAGACACGAGGCTCACTGGGCTGCCATGTTGGTAAAAGTAGTCACAATGAGACGAGAGTGTGAGAGAGGGAGGGATGAGAGCCGAGGAGAGGGCATGTCTGGAACATAAAGGCCCCTGAGTCAGCCTGGAATCCCTAACACAGCTAAACGCTAGGCGGATTACTGCTTTATCACACTCAAGCAGACACAGTGTGGTGAACATAATCTCACAATTCCTCGGGAATCAACATCTCAACTGTAAATTAATCCCCAAATATGGCAGGAGTTTCTTACCCGAGCATGTCCATCCCAAATGACTCGGGATGCGTGTCCAAACATTACAGCGTGTTCATTCGGAGCGTAAAACTGCTTTAATCGTGAGCGACTTCACTGGTGGTAGGAAGTGGTTCAGGGGCACGACGCTGTGTTAATGAGAATCTTTTGGTGGGCTTTTATGAATTCCAGTCAACATTAATTCTTTGTCAATTACACTTGACATCAGTGTTTTTGTCTTGTTTGTTGAAAAGCAGGCGCACGTAGACACAGGGCATTTTTTAAAGTGAGGAAGTGTGGAGTCGTGCAAACTGTAGTACATGCACCTCCAAGTTCTAATTGCATTGTTGCATGATGTTTTCTAACATGGAATTTGTGCCTTGTGCAAGGATTAGCATGTTTTAGTGGGACGACACATTTCTAGAGCTGATGGAACACGTTTGTTAGTTATTCTTATAAAACCAGTCATGAGTTCAACAGCACCAGGGAATATAGTCCTTTTGTGTAAAACAGCAGTGTATGGAGTGGCAGCAATTATACAAGTCAAGCTACATAAGAAATAAGAAAATGAGCACACTTTAAACTGCCCCATAGCTTACCTTGAACTTCTTGAAACACGAGAATATATATATTTGAAATGATATAAAATTGTGCTCTCATTTGAAGGAAATTTACATTCTGACACTTTACACTGGTTTACCAGCAATTTCAAAAGGTAGTTTCTTGTATTTAGTGTTCCTAATTTCACAGCCAAAGGTTATATTTACTGCACCACCTGGTCCTGCTACTCACCCGAACAGAGGAGGTTCATCAGCATATCTACATATCTCAGCATGGTTGTCACAAAGAAGTGCAACTGCTTCAGTACATAGAATAAATCAGTGCTTTCAGACTGGTGGTGATGTTCTCTGGATAAACCTGTCAGTCATGAATACAGATTCAGACCATTCAGACATGATGAATCTGTTTAAATGTCATTTTCAGTTTGTGTCCACAGTATGCATCACCAGTGTTCCTGTGGACTTCAGTCTTCGGCTCTAATTAAAAATGCTGGCATAAAGCCACCCGAGTACTAAATAAAGCTGTGCTATTTGGTCATTATCCGAGAACTCAGTTTCATGTGCGAGTACACAGTTTGCTAAATGCATCGTATATTCCACTCATGAGGTTTTAGACATTCTGTAAGTCAGTTTAAAATGCAGCAACATACGACTAATAACACATTTTTAGCCACATCTGGACACCGAAAGCAGCTGCTGCATAGACAGAATGTGTGAGGCTGTGAGCAAGAGGCTTGGGATGGATGGATGTGTGTCAGGAGAGATGCCACTTTCTGTCCCTGGTGAACATTTAGCCGTCAGAGAAGGTGGTCGTTCTTAATTTAGCGATGAGCTGCTGAGTGGGAGGGAGGGAGGGGGCATTCAAATCCCTTCCACCGACCGCAAATAGACACTTGTGTATCAACTACACTGCAGCCACAACTGGAAATGACGTGAATTCAGCGAGTTATGTCATTGTTGGTGCCGTTGTAAGCAACACGCTCTCAGATCAGACAGCATTTAGAGTGAAATATTCTCTGTGAAGAGCCAGAAAAGATGCAGACTGTTTAAAAAACAAAGTACAAACTTTATTATTCTGTCTTTACAAAGGCACGAGCCTCTTTATCCCCAAAACATTTCTCTTTAAAAAAAAAAGGGAAAAAAAATAGCTTCTTGATGACCATATGCACTGACAGGTCTAACAAAAAATAGCAGAGAGAACAAACAAAAGGATGCTTTTTAAAAAAAATGTGAAGAGAGACAAGAGATACTGACGGTAGATACACAAAGACAGCATACAAGATTGCAAAAGAACAACAACAAAAAAAAGTAAAAGGCAAACAGGACAGGATGTAGGAGGACTGGACATGGAGGGAAATGGGAAAACACAGCTGTGCGGTTTTACTAATAACCTCAAGAGCTTCAGCTGAGGAGATGCCCCTTCATACAAAAGACAGAGGCAAACTCCAGTATAGTACAGTAAGTGCTTTGTAATCTTGACCCCAGGCCCACCCCCACTCAATTAACAATCTGATATGTCCACAAAATGTGTCCTGACACACAAAACAGGGTGCAAAAGACAGGTGGAAATAAACCAGTTCAGCAGAAAACCTATCAAATGCAGATACTCGGAGGAAAACACCATAGCTCCTCAAAAAGCAGAGCATGCAAACACTTTCCACATCCAGGAATCCCCTTCCTATAAAGTACTGGGAAAACGTCCCATGATTTAGTTTCATTCATTTCAGTGCAGCTGACATCAATATTTATTTTTTTAAAGGGAAATTCCATGACATAAATCATGAGTTGCGTTCGGTTGAACACATTATCTGCCCAGCAGTTCAAAGTTCCTTCTGAGCACTGATGCACGGGGATGAGTTGGTTTCTAAGTGCTACTTCAAAATAGCAGTGATGTGTCAAAAGCCCTAAATGTAGCTAGTCTCTAAATACAGCAGGTTAACTTTTGAAAAGTAAAACTGGGAGGGAAAAAAAAAATCAGTGAAATTTTATGGAATGTCAACATTTCATCGTGGAATTTTTCTCCACACATCTGGCTTTGACAGCACTCAGCAAGGAGCCAAAAACAGATTCAGATCTACATGTAAATTCAGCCAGAAGTCAGAATTCAGACACATTCTGAACCCTCTGGAGAAACAGTTATCAGGACACTAGAAACCTGTTCTTTCTGGAGGCAAACGTCACAAGACAAAGGGAAGTGAATTTGACAAAATAACTGGAAACAACACCCCCCGGTTGCGTACAGGCCCGATTGGAAAGGCGAGGTGGAAACCAGAGGGATTCCAGCGGCCACCAACCGGCCCAGATAAAGTGTTCAGGTACTTCTATCCAACCCCAGGGCTGCGTTAAGGCTGGCAGTAAGGCAAGCTGCTGCCTTGCTCCGCTACATGTCTTAAAGTCAATCTGTCCGTCGACCGAGCGCTCCAGGCGTTTAAAAGTAGGATGTAAGAGGAAATATGTCAAAAGCACAGTACGCTAGATGCACAAACGGACACAAGTTCATTAGGAGGAAATGCATAGAGCATGTGTGGTCTACCCAGTCAGCTCCGTGGCACATTCAGATAATTTCACTGGGCATTTTCTTCATGTCCTCAGCAAACTCAGCTTCGATAGAAAAAAAAAAAACTACACTGATAGGGACTAAATAAGACAAGTTATTAAGCTTGAGCAAACAAGTGATTGTATGTCAGTTGTATTTGTATGTGCGAATTTTCAATTTAAGGGCAAAAGTGGCGCTGTTGCAGACTGCCAGAGTCCAAGACACCACTCAGGCCTGTAGATCCAGAACACTAAAAGACACACAGCAGTGAAAATTACTCAATAGGGCCCACAGATTAGCTTATTCAACAAGCCGGGTGCTTCTACACTCAAGAGGGGAGGGTGTCAACAAATAACCGTGATCTTTTTCAGTCAGGCCACCAGTAACAAGAACAGGCCAAATACACATGTGGGATTACTGGGAACCCAGCCCAGCAAAAATGGCAACAGACAAATAAAACAAACAAAAAGAAAAAAAGATAGCGTTGTGAACCAGTAAGTGCACTCTCTCTTCTCGAGCTTCGCTTCTTCAGCTGTGAGCACCTTTCAGCCACATGAACAGCTTTTAAATTCTCATCAACGCGGAGCTTTTGGAGAAAACCAAACATGAAGACGTAGACTTGACAAAAGTAAATAACATGTTTTTTGAACACGAAGCCTAAGATGGTGGAGCTTTAGGACAGTCGCATTGGCTCACAGTGTCTCTCCAAACAGCTCGGATGGGTCAGGGAGCGAGGGGAGCTGTAAAGGATGTTCGTCTGGTGCTGGATGGCGACGCCACACCGCTGGGCTCTTCATCGACTTTGTCTCCTGTTTCACAGATCAGTCACATGGCTTCAGGGCCGCGCTAAGATAACAGTCCTGGTAGTTAATGGAGATGTTTAGCAGACATTCTAATATCCAGTATGACGGAGCATTTACAGATCAGTAAGTGAAGTAGTCGCTCTAATAATCTCTCTATAGATTAATGACGAGACATGAGTTTGTATGTTTGTGAGTGAATGAGAGAGTCAAGAGATGAGCAGAGAGAAAACGTCTGCATGTACGAGCGTCTAAGTGTAAACCTATTTGGGCTGCCTATCACGGTACAACGTGGTGCGCGTCGAAAAGAAAAAACTAAAAACGAGTGCTTCAATCTGACTACCAGCCCTGTTAATGTCCACTGAACAAGAGTGCTGTGAGTTTGTCGCCTCCCGCAGCCCTGGTCTGCTCGGGTCTTCTGTGTGTTTGTGTGCATGTGTGTAGGTGTGTAGGTGTGCAGAGCGTCAGGGGTGATGAACTCAAGGCAAAGAACAGTCATCGGGCCCGTCGCTGTTGGAGGCTGTGTCTGAGCCCGCCGCGTCGGAGAGGACGCGCCCCGAGCTGACGATGACCGCCCTCCGCTGCTCCTCCTCACCAACACAGCTCTTCCCCTGGGTGCCCTCGATGTGCTGGATTGCCTGAAGAAACAGGGAGGCGGGAGATGTCAGCGACAGCAGCGCCCTCTAGTGTTCAGATCTGCTTCAGAGACCTCAGGCAGAAATTTTAATCGAACAGGAAAAAATATATATATATATGTGACTTTTGACTGTGTCTTACTTGAACGATGGTGTCCAGGTTCTGTCGAGACGTGGACACTGTATTGATAACGGATGCTGGGCCCATGGTTACCACGGTAACGTGATGGGGCAGGGGAGTCTGGACAGGTGCGGGGACGATGACGGTGGCGTGGTGTGTTGGTGCCGGGGGAGTAGCTGGGGCCACCGCCTGGTACAAAGGGCCAATCACAACGCATTATTCGAATGTCACCACTTCATTCTGCTGACAAGTGCAGAGAAGCCACATATAAACCTGCACGAACCACTACAAGGACACGATATTCAAAACACACGAGACAAACATACATGATACTCAAGACAAATAAATACAGATGGGCAGAATATTAACTCTGTGAATCCCAAATCTCACTGGAGAGTTTAAAAGGCATGTTAACTTTTTTTTAAATCCTCAAAATGACACCATTCATCACAGCCTGAATAAGTAAAACAGAACGAATCTTTAGATTTACCCATTTGCAGAAGTCTTTGAACTACTCATCTGTGATGTGCCACAATGACTAAAAACTACATCACAGCTTGAAATTTAACCAAAGTCACTTTCTTCCACATGTCTCATTAAAAAACACGCACAAAATAAACAATTGACAGGATTCTGTAAAAAACTAAAAAATTCTGGGCCCATGATACAACTGTGAAGCCAGTAGAAACTTAGCCGTAATTAACAGTCACGTGACAAAAATTCTGTGACTTTTGTGCTGAACTGGGCTGAACTCCAGGCTGTGTGAACGCAGAACAGACAGGAGTCAAAAATGTAAAGATGCTAAAATATCTGTAGCATGCAGAGTCACAGTGTTTTGTTTTTCTTGTATTGATTATTAAATAAAGGTTTTACATGCTGATTCCAGGTATTTCTTGTAAAATAAATAACACAAATGTTTCCGTTTTTTTTTTAATAATTTCTGGCATTACAGAGTTCTCTTGCCATGTTGTTCTGTTCATCATAGAGCTGCAGGGCTTCACAAGGCAGTGAAAAATGAGCCACAAAAAATGCTCAGCAACTGCTGGGATTCAGAGGTTTAAACACTGACCAGGCCAGATGTTAGAAAGCTCTCATCTGCATGAATGTTTGCAGAAAGCTCTTTCTCACTGTGTGCTTTGATTTGCCTCTAAAAAGCAAGTTTATTGGGCGACTTCTTAGTTTCTTCTAAAGGCACGTAGTGGTTGCTGAGATATCTTAGGAGCACACTTACAGTTGGTGCTTTAGAACGACAAACAGCAACACACCAGCTACCGCTAAAATGGTGCAACCAGATGAAAAACAAGCGCTCTTCAAACCAAATCAAAAGGCCACTGAACTGTGTCCAAGTTGCTATAACTCCTGGAGTGACCTGACAGCTGAGAGGTTGTGGTGCATATTACAGGAGAGCAAAGAGAGAGTCAATGGTTCCAATCGCAGCCTGCAATGAGCCTTTACTGCACGTCATCCTCCTCGTGTCCTTTCTCTCTTCACTGCACTCTCTAAAAAGGTAAAAACGCCTCATATATATGTTACGCTACTAATTTCCAGAAAATTGGCCATGAACGTTCCCTCTTCACCTGGGAACGAGCAGCCTCGCAAACACATCACATAATCTGGTGATGCCTGAAAAACTTCCAACCTGTTTGGTCAAAATTCTTTTCAGCGTGCGATGCAATGCAAAAAAAACCAAAACAATGTCTTTATCTAAAAATATCTTCAAAGTTAACACGGTTTTAAAGATGGTCATGTAATACAGACTGTAGGTCGTCAGCGATGCATGTTCCTGTTGTTTTTTTTTTATTTCTTTTTTCGAACTATTTAACAATCAAAAATTCTGCAGGAGGTAATGAAACTCTGATTATCATGTGGTTTCACCCACATGAAATTCTGTCTGGGGGCAACGATTCACAACACAAGAAAAACCCTGATTTATCGTAACCCAGCTATCTTGTCAATTCATAGTGATATTGATTTGAGGTAATATTACTCGGCTCGACTTGGGGAGTCTTATGGCTAATGTATAGTCTATCAATTATCTTTTACTACGAGTGCCCAGCTGCCACTAGCAGTGGACGGACACACATCACACGATTGATTTGGCATCATGTTCAGTTGGGGTGAGCCTGCAGAAACAGGATACGGCGGCTGTCAGGGCAGAGACGGGCGCAGCACAGAGATGTGGCTCATTTAACACACTGTAAATCTGTCGTGGCCGCTGACAGCTCTAACGACGGACACGGAAAGGACTGTCATGTACGACTGTGTCTCTGGGAAACCTACAGCACGCTGTGGGATTAGTCTAGGTGTGTGCATATTTGCAGAAGATGCTTTGGCACCATTGACTCAAAGTTCATAAAAATGTACACATGAGGGAGGAAGGAGGGGAAATTGGCGCCTGCCAGCTGATGAATTTAGGCTAATGAGCCCGAAACAAACACTGGTTATTTGAGATACTTAGATGAAAAGGGTTTGTCAAAATCAAGAGCTGACCTCCCTGGATGTTGGAAAAATAAAAAAACAGAGAGATCTGTAGAGAACACGGCGGGTAATTCTAACAACGAATTAATGATTACATGGACAGAACTAAATTACATCAGATCAACAAATTAACCAAATGAAGCCGATTTATTTGGCTCCATATCACAACGAGGTAAAGGGTTTGTTTCACCAAAAATAAATAACTTGCCGGCTGAGCTATGATCAAACCATTTAGTTCTTTTCTTGCCACTCCATGTTTGTATCTGTGCTGAAGGTTTATTTTCTTTGAGAACATTACAGATGTAAACCTAACATTTTCTATGAAGAAGTTTCTAAAACAAAAGCCTGATTTCTCATCACGAGACTATCATTCTTTACTGTTTGCTCCTGTTGCTGTGGGTTTGAGTGGTTTGCGTGTCCAACCTGTGGGCTGTGGGCTGGAGTGAGGTCCCTCTCCAACTGTTTTTGCTGCTGCATACGGACCAGGCTCTGTGTTTGGACCTGCTGCTCCTGGAACTGCTGGGCGATCGCTTTAAGTTTCTCTGGGTACAACTGTGCATCAAAGGAACGCATCTGACATGCAGAACATAGAAGTGTCACAAAGTCAAGGCAACAGTGGATATTTGGCAAACTATCCAACTTTTGCAGTTTTTTTTGTTTGTTTTGTTTTTTTTGGCTACCTGCTCTTCCAGGATCATCCTGACGGAGCGCTCTTTGTCCAGCTGCTGCCTCAGCTCGATCATCTCCCTCCTCAGGTCCTCAGTCTTCTCCTCCTCCAGGATGTCTGGTGAGCCAATCCCCTCATCTTTCTCCTCTGCACGCCTCCTCTTGGGAGAGGAACCACTTAACTCCTAGGGAGAGATGACACAGGTTGGATATCTAGCTGAGACGGATGCTGAAATTGATGATGGTGAAGAACACGAAAGCCTGATATTGCCTCTGCAAACAGCTGAAGTTCTGACATGGTAATACTTCACCTGTATGATTCGTTTGAGCTGACTGTTCTGCTGCAATAGTCGCGTCTTCTCCTGCTCCAGAGTAAAGATGTACTCTGCTGTCTGTTGCAGGATGGCAGCCTGAAGAACAACGTTACAGGTCAGTTATGAAAGCGAGTTCAGAGCCCTGCAGCGAGATCTAACTCATCATCCAACACTCTGTGTGTGACCCACCTTGCTGAGCTTCTCTCCATCGCTGTGTGGGATGAGTGTTTTAAGTGACTGAAATCCAGCGTTGATGCTCTGCATACGCCGACGCTCGTTGCTGTTGGCGATCTCTCTGCGAATTCTCCTCTCTTGGTCCCGGGCTGTTTCTGGGGTCAGAGGAATGTTGGCCAGACTGGGGGAAGAAGGCAGACAGAGAGCAATGGCATTAGTTTCACATCAATGGTTAAAAAAAAAGTCAAACAGATGAACCACCCAGCAGAATCAAACCCAATGTAATTACCCAATTACCACTGCCACACTAATGAGCACAGAAAACTTGACTTGTTCTAGGACTCAGCTTCCATTTCTCATGTGCAGGTTAAGAATAGAGGCTGAGATGCTTTCTGAATGCACAAAAGATCTGCCGTTTAGGGAGAAGTGCATTCTCAGACGCTGATAAAGTCATTTGTTGTACGGAGTTGTTTTGGTCAGTTCGATTTCCCTCTTGAGTTATTAATCCTGCAGCTAAGGAGGAGTTATTAGTGGCTACGTTAGTAAAAATAAATACCTGCACTGGCGAGCCTCTGACTGTCGTAGCTCAAGCTGGAACTACTTTATACCCCAATAAAAATTACTATTGTCACAGTAATGTCAGCTCCAGGCTCCACTGTTGTAATGAGGTCGCAGTTGTTAAGTTTGCATTAGAAAAACTCACGGCCTTTTTCTTTTTCAAAGCTAAACCACATATATAGCAAAAGAAAAATACATGCACTGTCTTATTATTTGTGACCCTCTAAATGTGTGTCTACACCAAACAGCAGAAAGGACCGAGTGCATCATTTGAGGGTTAAACGCATCGAGGCCACAGATTAGACAAACTAACAAGAGTTCCAAGTGAAGGGTCCTATTAGCAGCACGTGTATTAAAAGGCATCATGGCAGGTAAGTCGAGCTTACTGCCTTTGATATGCAATGAGAGAAGCACAAAGTTTATGAATATTTCCATATCTGAAGTGTAGAGGACAGCTGCTACACGCCGCACGCTGAAATTCAGCTGAGGGGAAATTCTAAGCGAACTTCCTCCAACATCCTCTGTATCAAGCTCAGTATCTGTGGGACCCTCTCTGGCCGAGCTCTTATCTGTACTGACTCAGCTGCCTCAGTGCAAACACTGGGAACAATTGTGCAGACACAGATGAGAAAAGGAGTGTGTGTGTGTGTGTGTGTGTGTCTCTGTACACAGACACACACATAACGCAACGCTGCAGCGTCACATCCAACAAAGCATCTCCTGCCAAAACACGACCAACTGAGCTTGAACTTCCCAAAAACAGACCAGAAGAGTCTGTGTTCCGGTTGAGGTGGGTTAAAGCTTCAAACAAGAGTCTGAGCACCAGGAAACCAAGTGTTGAACCCACTCTTGGATAAATTAAGTTGTAGTTAAAAACAGAACAGTGTTCCACAAGGACACTGACAATGTTTAAGTCATTTTATTTCCAAGTCAAAAATGCAAAACATTCAATAGGTCCAGCTGCTGAACTGCAGTAAACTCAACACTTTAGGATTTGGGACTGTTTTTAACTGACTAGATGTCAACCATTAACATAATCAGCAACTATTCTGACAATCAATTAAACAGATTGAGTCATTTTAAAGATAAAACTGTCTAAATGATTTTATCTCCTGTTTTGTTTTCATCTGTGGCAGTAAACTGAACGTCTTTAGGTTGTGTACGAAACAAGACATTTGAGGACACAATCTCAGGTTTTGAGAAACACTAATAAACTTCTAAAGTCCTGACATTTTAGAGACCAAACAACTAGTAGATTAACTGTGAAAGTAATCAACAAACAAATGGACAAGGAAAACAATCATTAGTTGCAGACTACTGCTGTGCAGACAGAACGACGCATTGGACTCATCTTTCATTGTTTTAGACACTTTCATGGACCAAATGGTTTATCAATGCATTAATTTATTCAGCTCTTTAACCCTAATTGAAACCCAGAGGAATCACTGAAGTCATGCACTCATTTATGCTACAGAACACAAAGAGAACAAATAGGGCAACCATGGTCAAGAAAAACAGAATAAATTCTGAATGTAATCATTAGCTGTGGTTCAGGAACTAAAATGGAAACTGATTATTTTTATTATTATCATGTCAATCTAACTGATAATTCTGCTCAGACTTTTTAGATTTATAGATCTACTATAGAACAGATTATACAAGGACTTTTCAGTGTGTTCATGGTGCTAATGTTAAAAACTAAACTCTGTAGTCAGTGTAAGAAGCATTTGAGCTGATTTTCCTTGTTGTTTCCTCGCTGTGCACAGCGTCACTGCAGACTGAGGATTAGAAGCTCATCAACAACAGGACTACATTTCCCAGAATGCCCGCGTCACTACCAGCAGCAGATCCCTCCGCCTCCCTCCTCCGTGCTGCGGACGCACCGACGGGCCTTCCGCGACACACACACACACACACACACACACACACCCTTATTAATACATCACTTTTAATATTGTGCCTCCCCGCCGACCAGGGGGGGTCCCTTTACCCGGACACACGACGGGGAAGGTGTTTCTGAGCCCCCGATAAGCCCCCCGGGGCCCCGCGGGGCCACACGGCCGCTCCGCTCCGCGCAGCCTCTCCGTCCTCCGCCATTACAACAATGCGGCAGCAGCATGGCAGAGCTGCGGGAGAAAAGACGCAGTGAGGCGGCTCGGTGGCGCCGACCAGCCGCTCAGAACCGCCAGTTAAGCCGTCGCCGCTCCAAATGAGGGCGAATCCTGCCGCAGCTGTGCGTTTGTGCGCAGACAGTGCACGAAAACAAGCCGCCAGACAGGAAACTAGCGCAGAGCCTCATCCCTCAGCCACCAGCATGGCCGCACTGCCCACAATAAGTTCGGTTCACTGCGACCACAGCAGAACCACGGCGACCCAAACGGGCTCCGTCCCCCGGCAGACCCCCGCCGCTCCGGCCGCCCCTCGCTGCCCGCAAGCAGCAGCCGGACGGTATTTAGCAGAAATAAACGAGGGGGACGCGCTCCGGAGCGAGCAGCAGCGTGGTGTGCACGGAACCACGTGGTTTCTGTTTGTTAGCCACAAAATACAGCGAATTCACCGCCAAATGTGCAAAATAACAGCCCGGACAGAAAGCAGAGGTCCGGGGGAGAGCAGCAGAACCTCGGTGCCGGACGGTGATTAAAGCCCGCAGCTCCGTGAGAGGGTCGTGCACACAATAACATCACAGCGAGCGTGTTGCCTCAACATCGCAAAGTGCGTGTGCTCCAACAGATGACTTGTAGCAGAACAACAGAGCAGGTAACATACACACCTGCAGAGACCTCCAATCACCTCCTTCTCCGTCTTCCTGAAGTGTTGCAGGGAGGGCACCTTCTGAGCTGGTACCATGAAATACTCCATGCTCGCCAGTTTGGTCCCCCCCACCCCCCAGAAGAAAACACAGCAAACAGTCTCCGTGGAATAAAAGGAGGCTGATCCGAGCGCAGCTAGACCCTCCGAGGAGACATGAATCCTGGTCCGCTAATGTGGCACTTTGAGGCGGCTCGGAGTTGTAATGTTACTCGACTTCCAGCTGATGGGGTTCCCTCGTTGTGTGGCGCTCTGCCTCTCTCTCTCTTTCTCTCTCTCTCTCTCCCTCCCTCCCCCTTTCTCCCTCTGCATGACCGAGTGTGTGTGCGCGCGTGTGAGTGTGAGTGTGTGTGTGTGTGTGTGTGCAGCTGATCAGATGGCTTTCAAGGCGGGAAACAGCTGGTCGGAGTCACACACTGCACTACCGACAGCCTCCTTCCGCAGAGACGGCGGACTGCGTGTAAACAAAGGACTATTTAGCGCAGAAACGCACCGACTGAAAGCTGCACACGTGGAGATGGACAACGTTGAAATAATTAATTTGGAGCCGCAGCTAAACAATAACAGCTGATTTATGCGTAAATCTGGTGCGTAACGCTGAGTCCAAGCACAGCAGCTCCATGAAGACAGTAATTTCCTCTTTTGGACACTTTTCATAACGGCTGCCTGTAATTTTTTTTAGCATTAATGAGCAGAATTCTGTGCCTTTATATAACCACATATGCTCCTTGCAGACTATACAGAGGAAGCAGCAGCGGGACGCCACCGGGGCGGACTCCTCTCCGACCACCGGGATCAGCTGACGGCTTGGCAGCGCCGCGCATCCACCGCGCACCGGGGAGGGCTTTCAGGGACACACCGCTGTCTGACACGCTGCTCGGCCGTGTGTTTGTTCACCATTTTGGGTGTGACGGTGGCAAAGGGAGGCCAAATTATAGCAAACCTGTTTTAATGGGTTGAACACGGAGTCAAATGGGAGCAGCGACTCCGCGCCTGGAAGTGTGCGCAGCAGCTGCTTTGAGTTTGCGGTCGGCTTTTACACTCGGCGCGTTTTGTCCAGCATTTGCATCAGAGCACAGCTTTGCCCTGCAAGAAATGACATCAAGACAAACTAAAAGATGCATTTAAAAATATACATTAAACCATTTTGCAAATATTTGTCTTCATTCTAGGCAAACAAACCATATCATTAAAAAAGGAAATACAACGATTGCAATTATAACACTAGTTACCTGGTCATATAATCAACATGAATTGCATTTTTTCATTTTCTAACATCCTGATCTCACATTTAAGCTACCTTTAAAAAGAAAAAAAAAAAGGAGGCACATGTGCACAGTTTTTAATAAGAAAACATAAACTTTATTGATCCCTCACTGCTTAATTCACATGTTGCAGCAGCTGGATATAGATAAAGCAGGACAGGAAACTACAAAAGTACAATAGGGCTAAAAAAAAAATGTTTAAAAAAGATGTAATAATAAAGGTCTTATAGACACAATATACCAGACATGAGTACAGCTATGACATAGTGAGTTTACATATTGATATTTAAACATAGTTTTGCATGTTGTTGTTTGATTTTTATGAAGAGCCGTGGAGACAAAGATGATGTGACATCTGTAGGGCTATAGGGGGAAGAAATACTTCAGGATGAGGTATTACAGCCCATCAAAACTGGGATTATACTTCAGTTTCACGACCAGGATTGTGCAGCCCACATATTCTATAATCTACACGGTGCTGCAGAATAAAATAATCTGAAATCAATCCTAAAACACACAGGCCCCACGAAATAGATTTAAAGTTGTAAATCATTTGTAGCTCAGGTGAAATGACTTTTTTTCTAGCCGCCTTTTGAACATTGAAGTTGTAGTGTTGAGCCACTTGGCCCTGAGTGTAAACTGCAGAGATTCGTGCACACAATGAGATGTAAAGTTTAGAGTTTAGGAATACGTTCATATTTGAAACCCATTTACTGGCTGGGTCTTCTTTACTTTAAAACGATTTAGTAATCTGAGAGTTGTGGGGTATTTAAACTTCTCCCAGGTTACCTAATGCCCTCTAGTGGTGGCAGATGAACACTTAGGGGGGCATCAGTAACTACTCCACTGTTGTAGTGCAGTTTGCAGCTGCAGCATCAGGATTTCACAGGAACATCTGGCAACGAAACACAGAAAAACCACAAAGACAGTTTAAACATGATTGTAGCTTTGCACTTTTGTCTCATGTTATGTTGAAAAAACCCCCATGTGCCTGTGCTTATGTCTGACTGTTTATATATGTTTGTATGATTGTCAGATTTTTAACACTTGCTTCTTGGTGTTTCACTCAGATTTGACTCTGCTGCGTGGATGCCTTCATAAAACAGATTTACAGTGAATCAGTCATGAACATGATTCTTGCTCATTGGGTTGTCTCAAATACAGTTTTACAATTTTCTCTTACCTCATGAGAAAACAAAGAATAATGAAAATATCAGTCAGTGCTGATCCGGAGGCTGCTGCTCTGCTTTTACACAGTTGACATATGTCATAATGTCTTTTCCACATGACAACAATGAGGTTTGTTTTCTGCATCAGCTGCAGGTATTTACTATCTGGCCAAGAAATGCGCTAAATGATATGGTGTATTGCCAAATATGTGGAGGCGAATAAGTATATTTGAGTCAAACTGCTGTATTTGATTTGAGCGACGTGTACCTCACTGAAGTATGGCCCGGCTAATTATTTTCTCCAATAATTCAACAGTCTGGTGATCAGAGGATCTTGTCAGATTGTTTCTGAAACCCAAACAGATGTTCAGTTTGTGTCACATGAAGCAGGTGGAAAAAAAAGCAAAGAAATCTGAGAAGCTCCAGCTATAGGCATACAAAAATGATTTTATTTATTGACTGATTGTCAAAATAAGACACCTTCACTACACTGACACCTGTTTGCAGCTTAGGATTTTATTTATAAAACTGAAGATGAGATAAATTGTTGGAGCTGCCTCACAGTCTGTAGTTGCTGAATTTAACTCTGGCATGATGCATCTGTACTAAAGAAATAATAACATGTGATATGAGTGTTTTTATGTTTTATTACCTGTACAGCTGATTATTTATCGGGGGGGACACATAACCTCATGTAGGCCTACAACATGACATACTGTCAGTGCTGGAAGTAAAGATAAAAATGGCCGAGTTTTGTATTTAAATAACTTTGCTGGGAATCTTCTGTATTCCAGGTTTATTGCAGCACACAGTTGCATGTGATGTTTCGATTGTACTGGTTCATAAAGATGGAAATGTGCATCATACTGGGATCCCTGGCTGGTGTCCAGCAGGAGAACAGACAGTGGATAGAGGCGGCCTGTTGTTGGAGGCAGCTGAGGCGGAGAGGAGGCCGTGAGGACGGAGAGGGAGAGGGGCAGAGTCTGGAGGAAGGCCGGGGACTGCCCCCGGTGGAGGGCGGAGCAGTAAGCATGCGCTGAGCTGGCAGACTCTGGGCTGGTCCTGACGGGGTGGCTGGGCTCCGGGCGGCTGTCTGTGCGCTTCAGACGGTCGTGGGGGAGACAACCATCAGCACTCGGCGTCTCCTCGAGTGCTCGCAGGAAAACGCAGAAGAGACACAAGAAGAACTGCGCGACAAGGAACCAAACAGCCCTACCTCGGCATCTGGAGAAGAAAGAGACGATCCTCCCCTTCTACCCCACACGCCCTATCCACCCTACCCACCACTTCGTGCCATCCCTCTGGTCTGAACTGCCCTCCCACCCCCACTGGAGAGCCACGACCACCCAGAGGAAACCCCCACTTGACCAGCGTTGCCATTAAGCGATGCGCTTTGAATTTAGGAAGAAATCACCTTTACGCTTCTGATGCACAACACAACCGGCGCTCTTCTTCATTTTTTGCTCAGCGGGAACAGTTCAGGCTCCGGATTTGGGTGTTTACACTTTTTTGACGGGTTTCCAGTGGCCTGATAACATGCAGAATATCTTCCCCCGACCTGAGCCCGGGCTGTCACTCCACAGATCCGTGCGTGTTTGAAGCAGCAGCTGTCACAGTCGCTGCCTTTCAGCGTATGTTGGATTTTTCATGCTTAAAAAGAATCCTGACAATGGTCTGGGAACGGACCGCCTCTGTAGACACCTAGTAATATTTTTCAGGACGTGTCAGCTGCATATTTCGTTTTTATCGAAGGAAAAGCGACAAACTGACGAGGAGTCACTCGACACCGACGCCGTTTGAGCCACAGGACTTTGCGTGCGAAGTTTGCACCGGAGAGACGGGACCGAGCCGGAGACATCTCGGCCACATCCACGGCGTTTTCTCAGTAAGGTAAGCCCGGAGCGACCTGTCTGCATGTCAGATCTGTGCGCTGCGTCCGCGCTGCTCCGTGTGCGCTCCTGCAGTGTGAAAAACTGCAGAGTTCAAACAGGGCAGTGACCTATTTTCGGAGACTCCAGCGGTGCACCGGAGCCCTGCAGCTCGGACTCCCCGCACCGTCACATCCGAGGCCGCCTGGCCAACGTGCCTTTTCCTGGCGCCTCTCCGTCCACGCAGAGACGTGTCAACGCCGATCTCAGCCCTGGAGCGAGCCTTGACAGCGCGTCTCCATGCAGCCGTAAACTCCCATCACCGCCCGGACAGCAGCTCCAGAGCAGAGCCACAGATCCTGTCCTGAGTAGAATCAGCTCTGATGCTGCTCACAGTCACTGAAACCAGTCACGTAGAGGTAAATAAAGGAGCTGGCTCAAGTGCAATGATGGTATTTTCCAAAGTTCCATACATTTTCCACATGGAAACTCTTCATATCTCACAGCAACTGGATTCTAATCTCTCTATATGCTGTGATTTACTGTCAGTAAGTGCCCAGTGTTAGTCAGCTGTGTTCTCCATCACAGCAGCACATTAGTCACTGCAGCCGACTGCTAGTTATCTATGAAGTCTGTTTAGTGCTGTACAGGCTAAGTGATGTCTGGGATTGGTGACATCTTTGCTTGGCCATTTTGTCATTGTTGTTTAATCCAGTTCTAAGTTATTTGAGGCCAAGCATGTAGTGCCAGGGCCAAGGATGAGCACAGGCACAGAGGCCTAGATAAAGAGCTATTTTCCTCCAATTAAGCAATTCCACTGTCCCTAAGCCTAATTGTGTGCACACTGGGACTTGGTTTGGGATGGACCTTCTCCCCATTGGCTGCCTCCCATGGGCCCATTGTTCCAGAAGATGCCAGGCGAGAGAGCCGAGTCCTGCCAAGGCAGACCTAACAAGGCCTGTGCTGGAGGGGGATAAGGCCTGATCATTAAAAAGCAGTAGGCCACAATGCAGATCGAGGCACACTGTAGGGCTGCGCTTGTGTTTTGGGTCAGGGTAGGATGACTGTATATTTTCAAGGTGACTGCGAGGTATTTTGTGAATAATGCAATGCGTGGGTGCACGAGAGAAACTGTCACAGAGATAGCATGTGAGGCTGGAGGAGGTCTGGCTGTCGGCCCACTGGACTTCTCTCAAAGTATGTGGGGAAGAGGAGCAGTGAAAGAGGCTTTCTGCAGAGGGAGAACTTTGACTCCCTCTTATCCCTCCCTCCTCCAGGCCCCTGCTATTTAATCCATAAACCCTCTCTGAACTGTGAACACAGGTGCTCCTCACATCCACGACCGCTCACTGCATTGTTTATCCAATCAGCTGATGATCAGTTCAGCCACAGGTCAACCATAACATCCATCCCAGAGAAAGAGGCATCTATCAGCAGCAGCACTGGCTGTCCAGGCGACGCCTCTCCCACAGTACTTAGTCACTGCAGAGGAAAGGCTCTCATCTCCAGCCAGATGTCCACTGGCTTCCAGCTGTGCATCTCTGTGGTGGCATTCCACACTCGCAGGATGTGTGTATTTATGTGTGTGTTTGTGCTGGCAGCCTTTCTCCGTGTATATTTTCTTGACTGCATACTTGGCCATATGTAGATACTTGGACAGCTGCTGGCAGCGACAGTTTGTGCAGCGTTTTGGTCAGAGTTGCAGGTTTGACACCAACTGGCGTAATCTGCTGTAATTAGAGCAGCAGAGGATAGACCAACAAGGCTCTCCACCAGACCAGGGCCTGGATTTAAATCACGGGTGTGGTTGTCGCCCCCTCCTCAATTTTCCATGTGTCTTGAGATTGTGCCCCACTCCACAACTGTGTGACATCATTTCAGTGAGGGAAAAGCATCTGTTTTATGGTGGAAAAGGTGGACCCTAATGGCATATTCCTGCGTCAGAGAGCAACCACGAGGAGTGTGGTGAAGCACTGGTGGGAACCCACAGTGCACTTGTGCTTAATGCTTTAAATCGGTCTAATAAAAGTTGTACCGCATCTGATTTAACGACAAGCGCGTTCAGTTTGATTCCTACATTGTGCAGTCTGCTGCCACAGAGAAATTCTCATCTAGAATCTGAGGTGTTAAGTTTTGTTTTTCACATGGCCGCTAAAATATGTTCACTGCTTGAGGAGGAAAAAAAAAACTCTGGAGCAGGACAAGGGTTGCTAACACTAAGTGGATGGGTTGTAGGTTGCACAAAGTATACTGGTGGAGCCAGTTTGAGTGTTTGAATTAATATCGCAGTGGGGTTCCATAGCTGCCGGGGATTACGGTCAAGCTGAAAGGCAACTCAGCAGCAGGGGAGGGAGGATTACAGTGGTCAGTGAATGAGGCAGCATGCGGTGAAAACAAGGCACCTGATGCACACTTGCATTTATCTCCATAAGAGCTGCTTTATTTTCGATTCCCATGGCAGATCCATCCTTCCTGTGGTTGCAGTTGTTGACAGTTAATGCTAATCAGATGAACAACTTTGCGATGCATGCATTAGGATGCTCCGGAGAAGAAATACAAGCACTATTAAGGTCTGTCATGTCTTGGGCGTGTTCACTGGAGTTGCTTTTTACTGGTGTTTGGGCTAAAAATGTCAGCAAAGATGTGCTGTGCTGCCAGATGAAGCCTTTGTTGGTAGCAAACTGGAGAAAGCATGAAGTTTATGACATCCATGGTTGGTGTCTGGATGAAAATAGTGCCCACTTGATGGTAAGTCACAGCGTTTGTGCTCATGTGAATCAGTTGCCTTTTATCATCTATCTGTGTGCCACAATACAAACTAAATGCTGTCATTCAGGTGCTTTACACGCTGACTCTGTGAATACTTTGGAGTTACCAGCAAACTCTCGGTTATTCTCCAGTTGAGGTGGCTGAACACTGGCGTGGTGGAAATCATTGGAGCCACAAGGCCGACAACATCAGTGTGACTCAACTGACATCTCAGATGAACCGGCGCTGATTCAATAGCTGAACTTGAGTTAAACTTGAAAATGACAGGAGATGACTCTCGGCTTACCCGGTCCAGAAGCATACATTTCTTCCACAAATTCTCTTATCGCTAATCATTGCCATGTGCCGGTGACACAGTCATACTTTGGAGCGCTGCAGTGTGATGTGTCTGAGCGGGGTGGCGGCCAGACTCTTGGACCCATACGTTAAGCAGAGGCAAAGCGGATACAGAGCTTGACTCACACTAACTTGCAAGCTGAAGGAGACCAGTGCATACCGCCTTGCTCCCTTGTTGGCGGGGCTCGTGCACCGTGCATTTTTCTCCAGTTAAACTGTAACCACTAATCACTTCACGGCCTCACTGTTTCCTCCTGGAGCGGACCATTCCTGGGTCCCCAGGGTGGGTTAAAATGGCCCCTCGGGGATATACGCTCCACCATTTTTCAAATCACCTGTGTGGGACATCTGAACTGAGTGCAGGGATATTGTTCTTTCTGTGAGGATCCTCCATGGTGAAGTTTAGGGGTCAGTTCCTCTGCTGCAAGTCTGCAGGCGTGCATTTCCAAAATAAACACAGACAACTCAGTGCTTCACTCCAGCTACCCCGCCCTACCTCCTCTCATTCTCTCTAATGTGCCTGCTGCACTCCCCGCTCAGTATTTCTATCATGAGAGAATTTCAGTTTGCAAAAACCTTCAGACAATATGCAGACCATGTCTGGGGCAGGGCCCTGTTGATGAGGAAAAGTTAAAGCAGGAATAAAAGAGGAATGCTAAGACATGAAAGAGTAACTGCAGTGTAAAGGAGCTGGCACCAAGTGGTGCAGGGAAGAAAGTCTGCTTCCACAAAGCATGTTTTTGGTTAGTTTCCAGCATCATACTTAATATTTAACTTAGAGATGAAAGTCGATCTAGTTTGACCCTTTTAGATATCTGGGACTTCAGTTCAGGGAGCAGTTGTACAGTAATATGCTCTCAGCAGTGCGGTTTAAGGGAGACACAGCTGGTTTGTATTATTATTTATTTGCTCGGTCAACACCCTGCGTGGATTCTTTTATGCCCTCGACAGCTCTCCAGCAGTTCAGTACGACTGAGGTATGTATGTGCATGTTTGGTTGTTTGTAAAGAGGAGAAAGGGAGGAGCTGTCTGTAAGTATGGGTGAGGAAGGGAGAGACGGGGGAGAGGGATTGATGGTGTTTTTTTTTTTTAAGGGAAGGGGATGAAGGAGAGCTGGGTGAGGCATTTCTGAGATTCAAATAAGGCTCTCAAGTCTGGGCCTGGGCCTGGCTCTCTGTCTGGGCAAATCCAATCCTGTCAGCCAGCTTCACCCCCTCCTCCCTCCTCCATCCCCGACTCCCAGGGACTCCATCTCCTCCTCGTTTTTAACTCTGCTTCTGTTCTCTCTTGCCCTTCGTCCCTCCCTCGCCTTTCGTCTCCCATTTTCCATGAGCCCCCAGCTTCAGAAGCGACGTGTACATTATATAAGACATTCTCCATCTTATACATGCAGTGAAAGCGAGCGCGAGAGAAAAAAGTTTGGCCTGTGAGTGTTTACCTTCTCTGTGGTGTTGTGGAGATGTTGCCAGCACTAATTTAATTCATATGTACCATGGTTGGCTTTTTCTTGCGAGGGAGCCTTATGTAATTTGGACATGTTTTAAGTTTGAGGTTGCATTTTGAGACTTATTCTGACCTCAGATGCTTCTATTAAAAAATAGCCTCACTGTTTTAATCTGGTTGCTAAAAGTTGCCTTTCAGTGGCCATTTTGAATATTGACAGTTGGTATCTTAACACTGTGTCTTTGTTTGCTAGGGTCTCAATAAATGGCGCCGTCAGTCATAGTGGGCTTAGCTATTCCTTAATTGATTGTAAATGTCAGTATTGATTCAGGACTTAGGAGTGTAAGAGGATGAGTATCATCCTGACCTTCAACACTAATTGAGATTCTCTCTCAGGCTCATTCTTTCCAATGCTGCCGATACAATACCGTATGATTGCATTTGTCCACAGCTCATTTATTAACTCTTGCTGTT